TTGCAAGCATGACCAAGCCAAGGATCCTGTGCTGATGTGAATTAGATTTAAGGAACTGTTATAGATCAGAATTTTCCCTTGGCTTCAGAAGAAGAATGTCTTTCATTCCAGGAATTAAAATGTTAAATTCTTTGGGCCACCGATTAATTTGTTTTTAGAGAAAAGTACAAAATTGGTTGGAAATAAGATTATTTATGAGGACATTCAGTATAGTGCTTTGGCCTTACTTTATACCTTAATATACAGGAAAACAAGGTCAGAACACCAAAGCTTTGGGCTTCTTGGCAAGGGCATAATCACTTTGGCCATATCTGAATTTCCCTTGTAGCAAGAAGGTAGTTTGCAAAGAATTTAATCAGGAGGTCTGAGAAAGCTCCACCTTTAGAGACTCTAACTGTACCAGAAGTATTAATATCAATCAGTCACCAGGCCTTGATCAAGCCCTACCAGGTATCAGTCACTGTTCTGGTTCTGGAGTTAAGAGACAAAAATGAAATGGCCCCTGTCTTCAAGGAGCTTACATTTGATGAGGGAGACAATATGTATGCAGTTCACTGAGTTCTCCTCCCCAAATACTATTTAAAACTGTCCTTAAACTGGGGGTGGGAAGAGGAGGATGATAAAAGCATTATTAGCATCCATCCACCATAATATGCTCAAAGGAAGTTTATAGAAGAAGAGAAAAGAATCGTTCTTCTCACCATTTCTCACCATCTTGCCTGCAATAAAAAGAGAACTGACTTTGTAGTCTCAAGACCTGGCTTGGAATCCTGTCCTTGCCATTTACTCCTTGTGCAAATTTGTGGGACTCATTTAATCTGTCAGACTGTTTCGTCATCTTAAAATTGAGGGAGTTGGGCTAAATGACATGGAAGATCCTGGCTCCAGATCTTTTGAATTTGATTGCCAAATTTTCTTAAAGGGGTCCATACTAAATAATATCATCACTCTGAATTCCATGGAAATGTTTACTTTTTGTGGACGTTTTGGGGAAGAAAGAGGAGGAAGTATTTAAAGAGCCTCTTAAACACATCAGAAATCTAGTCTTATTCTTATGCTTCACCCTGATGTGGAGATGATCCTAGGTTCTAAAGGCCACCCAGGGGAACCCAAGTCCTCATAGATTTTACCAAGTTGGATATAATTTAAGTACAGACTCAGCAATAGATGTCTGTCATCTGAGGTAGCTCCTAACTAAAATTAGAGAGCTTTACCAACCAGAAGGTGGACTACTAGGTCACCAATGTTGGACAGTAACTCAAAAAGATTCTACTAATATACAATATACATACTGATGAACTTGCTGATTTCTACAAGGACTGAAAAAGAACCTAGTTCCTAACTGCTTAGAAAACTCTTAGAAAGTTTATGAAATATTTTAAATAACATCTTCTGAACTTTTTTGATAATAGCAAATTGTATTTGAAATGTGAGAATAGCAAATTATATGATTTGTTTTATGGTTTGTATCATTTTGATCAGAGAAAGAATTATATTAACATGATTTTATTATTTTCTTGGTTTCTTTGATTTTTATATCACCTACATTTTTTAGTTTATTCATTCTCCCTCCCCTCCCCAGAGAACATTCCTTTATAACAAACAGAGAGGGGGAAAAGACTACATCAACAAAAGAAGCAAGATATTGGATAAAGTTTGACATTAAATGCAATGGCCAACATGTATAGTCCCACCTTGCAAAGATATAGGAGAAAATACCTTCTGATGTGTCATCTTTGGGGACAAGCTTGGTCATTGTGATTTTTCATCATTCAGTTCAGTTGTTTTGTTGGTCTTACATTTTTATTATTGTTAAAGTCTTGTGTGTTGTTTTATCATTTCTATTTATGTCGCCTTATGTCTATTCATGGAAGTCTTACTGTGCTTTTCTCTATTGCATCATATTCATCATTTCCTACAGCACAGTAACATTTTGCATATATCATAATTTGTTAAGCCATTCCCCAGTTGATGGGCATCTACTTTGTTTCCAGTTCTTTGCTACCACAAAAAGTGGTAGCTCTAAACATTTTTGTGTATAACGAGCCTTTTTGTCATTAACTTCCTTGGAGAATATGCCTAGCGGTGGAATTTTTAGGTCAAAATGTATGGATATTTTAGTCACTTTATTTTCTTAATTCCAAATTGCTTTCCAGAATGGTGGGACCAAAATTCATAGGTCTTCCAGTTGTACATTAGTGTACTATATTTCTATAGCCTTTCAAACATTGACTATTCCCATATTTTGACATCTCTGCCAATTTGTTGACTGAGATAATTTTCATCTTAGTCTCATAGCAATAGCATGTGTAGATATCTCTGAATGCAAAATAATGGGGCTCTAAGAGGCTTTACAGGAAAATCTGTTTTTGAATGAGTAATAATTTTTATATTTGTTCCCCTTAGAAAATGAAAAAAATTAATTTTAAAATGTTCAGTATTGGTGTATTTTTCATTTGGCATTTTGCACAAAGTCCTTTTGAGCTATGTAGATTCTATACATCCATTGGCTAGGTCTAAAATTGGTGTGACAATTTGTTGTTAGTAGTGATCTCTATTTTATTCATTCAGTTAAGTAAATATTTGTTGGTGCTGCAGGGGCAGCTGCTATAGACATTCTTACACAATCTTATTTCATTTGTCAGTGGAATAGCTTTTTGTTACCCCAAATTGGAAAGGAAATGTGATCACTGCTCTTTTGTTACAAGGGCCTGATAACAAAGAAGTATGTTTGACCTTTTTTATGGGGCTCTGAGATGCCTCATGGGATGCAGCATATTGTTCCAGATGACAAACGTCCTCTGAGATTTCAGTTTGTCAGCTTAGTGTGAGGTAGGGGCATTGATTTCTTCTCATTCTCACTTCCTATCCTACCAAGATTGGTGACACAGTTTCTGTGGCAGGTGTCTGTCAAGCTCAGTTTTGTCTATCAGACTAATTGAGAGATTCATATGTTAGTCATTAATCACAGCAGAGTAAAGCAAATAATACCCAGGGCTTTGGGTTTGGAGAAAATATGAATATTAGAGTAACTCCCAAATGTTTTAAATAAGTAAAGTGATTCATCCACCAGAAATTACTAGTGTGCATTCATATGCATATTAGTGACTTCCAAAATAATCCCAGTTCAGTTTTCAACAGGGATTTCCCTTCATTAGAATCTTTGAACAAATTATGTAGTTGAAATTAAGGTAGAAATTTATTGCCTGTAAAGACAAATCAGCTCTAGCGTTTGCTTCTGCGGGAGGCCTTTTCTTCTCTTCGCAGCAGCCAGTGTCTACCCCTTCAAAGATATCTCCTGTGTCTTTTGTATATATTGTATATGTACTGATTTGTGTATGTGTTGTCTCTGTGTGTGAGCTCCTTGAAGGCAAGGACTGTCTGGCTATTTCTGTTTCTACATCATTTTAAAGTTTATAAAGCACTTGGCTTGCAGCAGTGTGAGGTAGGTAGTATAGGCAGTATTATCTCCATTTTTTAGATGAAGAAACAGAGATGCAGCCTTAAAGTGGCTAGCCTCTGCTCACTGAGATAAGTGATGGAGCCAGGATTCAAATCCAGGCCTCCTGACTCACGAGCCAGCATCCTTGGCCTATACCACACTGTCTCTCTGATGATATATTATTCTGTTGAGCATAATTTGTAAGATTTCCTCTTCAACATCTTTTTTACCCAAAGATAGGAGAGTAATGCATACCCACACACACACACACACACACACACACACACACACATGCACACACACACACACACACATATCAATGGAAAATGTTGAATTTGGAGAACAGAGTAATTTGACCTGACAAGGAAATAACTCTACCTAGAAACCAAAGCATTAGGATCATAACTTTCTACCTGGAATGGGTTTTAGTCCAACTCTCTCATTTTATAAATGAGGAAACTGAGGCCCAGGTAGCAGAAGTAGCTCACCAAAGGTCACATAGGCACCAGTTGGTATAGCCAGGATTCAAACCCAGTGTTCTTTTCCCTGTGCCATAAATAAATGCTTCGACTTTAAGTTACTCTAGCCTTTAACCTAATCAGCAGCCCTTTTTTAAGCATATCCCTTACCACAGCTTGCTTTCACTGTCCAAAACCTATTCTGACTTGGGCTTACACACTAGCATGGGTGCCATGGGAGATCAGAGGTGAATACAACATTATTTCCTCCCCCACGGAGTTTTCTGTCTAATAGAGGGGCTGAAACATGTACCAGTAAATACAGTCCAAGGTAAAATGTGACACTTTCTCTAAGAGGAAGGAGTTCAGAAATTGAGGGGAAGTGGGACAGATTCAGAGGGAGATGAATCGTCGGGTTTCAGATTTAAGACTCAGATAATTGCAGTGAACTTTAGAAGTTATCTCTTTTATAGCTCCATGCGAGCTTTGTCTAGATATAGCCCAACATTAGAATTTTTGTTGTTCAGTCATTTCAGTCGTGTCCAACTCTCCATGATCCCATTCAGGGTTTTCTTGGCAAAGATACTAGAGCGGTTTGCCTTTTCTTTCTCCAGCTCATTTTACCGATGAGGAAACGGAGACCAACAGGGTTAAGTGACTTGCCCAGGATCATACTGCTAGTAAGTGTCTGAGGCTGTATTTGAACTCAAGAAGATGAGTCTTCTTGACTCCAGGCCTGGCTCTCTGTGCACTATGGCGCCACCTAGCTGCCACAACATAGGAATAAATGTTTAAGCTGAATTTACTAGTGGTAACAGGATATAAAGGTACTACTGTTATTAGAGCAGCCCTCCCTGTCCCTCCTTTCCCCTGCCACCGTAGAGCTGGCACAGAGTTTGATAGCCCTTTTCATTTCCCTGCTTCAAGATATCTATTTATAGAATGAATTTAATGGAATTTGCTTTTCAGTATGCATTAATGCTTATTTACAAGTGATAACTGAGAGTCTACTTACTAAACCCTAATTCTTCTTAATTTATGCACTCTATCAGTCCTGCCAGCCTAATTTGTTTGTTTGACATGTTTTTGTCTCTCCGTAGATTCCTTTCTCTCTTGTGCAGTTTCCTCTGTGGGAGTCCTTAAAAGTAAGTTATTAGATACATCCATTTTTAAGTTACTTTATTATCATAAAAAGCAATTCTTGTTATTATTAATGTATTGGATTCCTATGAGAATCTCTCTTGAACTATCACAGACATCCCTGATTTTACATAGCTTCTGCATATGTGGCAAGTTAAAATGTTTCTATGCCACGCCATGAAGAGAGAGTCAGGTTCTAATTAGTTGAAAATGTCAACCTAAGTGTGGTATGTACATTATAATACTCAGCCTCTTGAAAACTCAGTCTCTGTGGCAATAGGAAATGATGGTAGTGTGTGAAATTAATCCACCGGTATTCCCAAAATCTCATGGTGGGCAAAGATTTCAACTGCTTTTTTTTACCCATAATTTCTCCCTTTCTTTGGTCCACACTCACAGAGTTACATAGAGAGCACGGGGGTAGAAGGAAGGAGAGCAATCCTGCACAGAACTGCCAGCTGACTGAGCTTTCCCTACACCTGAAGGAAGGGCCAGGGCTTAGTGGTATAGTAAGGCAAGGCTGTTGGATTCCTTTCTCTCCAGCTCCCCAAGGTCAAACACTGACGCAGCCAATAGTGACAGACGGGGCAGGGGAAATTGGAGAGTGAGACGTCCTACCCCCTTGAGAGTCACTCCTTGTCACACTGTAGCACAAGACATGCAGCTTCTTTTCACCTAAGGAAATGACTCCTTGTGGCCATGCAGAATCCACTGTTGATTACACAATCTGCACAAGAAGGAAGTAGTTACTCACCTCTCAGTGATTAGGTATAATTGAGAGCCAAAGAATACATCTCAAAAAGGGTCATCAAAATATTAATATTGTTGCTAGCTTTAAAAAATGCTTAGTTGAAAAATAATAGGTAGAAAATTGTTTAATTCCAATTTTTTAATAAGGACAAAAAATTCTCATTGAGTATTCAGAAATATTTCTCTTAAGTCATACTCACCTAGAATGTATATCATTTACTCGATGAAGCTGGCATTTTTTGGCCATTTTTCTAGGCAATGCATTGTGAAAACAGCTTTCCAAAACAGTGTCTCAAGGCATGATGTAATTGTTAGCCAATGAGGTCACATTCCATTAGCATAACGGCAACATTTTTTTTTTCTGAAAAAGGAACAATGAAGCCAACAGCTGTTCAGCAAAAAAGACTCATTTTGTTTGTGTCTCAATAACCAGTAGTGCCACAGACTTTGCAAACACCCACATTCTCTCACATCATCTTGTATGTGGGTATGTGTGAGGCATCGAAGAGAAAAGTCCTAAGGTTTGTTACTTTTTCCACATTACTGATGTTTATGAGATTCTGGTTAGTTATAAAATATCACACATTGCCTGGAATAGTGAGAGTACATACTATACTCCATAATTTCCTAGTCATTTTCTCTGAGAAGAAATTATCTGATGCCTTCAACATTTTTTTTTAATCTCCTGAAAGTGAATTACTTAACATAATTTGATGAATTACATTGTTATATCATCTCTATTATTGTTGTGTGTTTATAGCCTAACACTTTTAAAGAAAACATTTCTCAAGCCCACAAGGATTGTATGATATCAGAGGAGGATTTATCCACTATTTTCGTGTGGTTGTAGTTCTCAGAAAATGGCTTCCTTCACCTCATTCTTGTTTTAATCTCATGTCTTCATATTGCAGTAAAATTCTTGACTTTTCTGTCTTCTGGCATATGCAGTCATCTACTTCATCTTTCTTTCATTCTTTCACATGACTCTTCATATTCAGCAAATGCTAAGTACTTGCTGGGTGCTCACCATGCTAGCTTCTAGCAGAAATACCAAGTGGAGTTAAGATACAATTCCTGTCCTCATTGAGTTTACTGTCCAGTAAAAGAATTCTTCACTTAGGGTCCATGAACTTGTTTGTTTGCTTTTTTAAACACTTCAGTAACTATTTCAATCTAATTAGTTTCATTAGCCACTCTATATATTTTATTTATGCTTTTAAAAACACTGTTCTGAAAAGGGACCCATCAGTTTCACCAGATTGCATGGAGATCCATGATGCAAAAAATGTTAAGAACTCTTTTTCTAGTAGGAGGGTAACAAACCATAGAGAAGCCCAGTATTACATAAGTACATTAGAAAATTACAAAACCAAGCATTCTGTGAGATTGGAGGGTGGATATTTGATACAGACAGAAGAATCAGAAAGAAACATTAGAGAAGAGGTGGTATTTGGACTGAACGTTAATGCTAGGAGTTCAGAAGGCAAAGAGAAGGAGGCCATTCCAGGAGCAAAGGACTGGATATCACAAAATACAGAGTATTTGGAAAGGACAAAGAATTGCTCAGTTTACCTATGCCTTAAAGAAAAGCATACTGGTGGCATTATGACAAGTGAATTGGCAGTGGGAGAGAGTAAAGACAAAAAAACCTTTACTTTTAAGGAGAGTGTTGCAGTAGTCCATGCAGGTGGTAATGAGGACCTCTACTCAGATGGTGACAATGAAAATAGAATACAGATTGAGAGAAAACAGATGTGAGAACTATTTCAGAGGTAGAATTCACATTGATTTGATTACTGATTGAACAAGAGAGTCAAGGGAGAGTCAAAGATAACACCAAGGGGGAGGTGGAACCAAGATGGCAGAGAAAAGCCAGGAAGTTGCCTGAGCTCTCCCCAGTTTCCCTTGGAAACAGTGTTAAATCAAGCATTTAAATGGATTCTGGAGATGCAGAACCTACAAAAAGACAGAGGGAAATAATTGTCTAGCTTAAGATAACCTAGAAGGACTTCAGGCAAGTTCTGTCTCACTTGGATAGAAGGGGAGCACCACCAGCATAGAGAGTGTCAGGACAAGCCAGCAGGATCTGGGCCATAGCACATATCACCAACTGAGACCTCTCGGTCCTGGCTCTGGAGGCTAGTGGCACAGCAGGCCAGCTGTGAGGCCTCCTGCCCCAGTGCAGAACTGCCAGCCCGGGAACCCCTGGCACAACAGGTGTGGGTAGGCCAGGCCACCCCAGTGCAGTGGGCAAGCTGCCAGCACCTGAGGCCCCAGCCTAGAAAGCCAGTGACCAGGCCCATGGTCCCCAGCACAAGAAGCTTGGCAGAGTGTCCCCTATGCCCCAGGAGTGGAGCTTAATTTAAGAGTCATGAAATAGGCTTAAGAATGAGTTAAAAACAGAAAAGAGTCCTGACCATAGAAAGCTACTGTGGTAACAGGGAAGAGCAAAACACAAACTCAGAAGAAGACAACAATGTCAAAATGCCCACATGTGAAGCCTCAAAGGGGAAGGTGAATTAGTCTCAAGACCAAAAAGCCTTCTTGGAAGAGCTCAAAAAGGATTTTAAAAATCAAGTAAGAGAGATGGAAGAAAAATTGGGAAAAGAAATGAGAGTTACGCAAGACAGAGTCAGCAGCTTGGAAAAAGAAGTTTAAAAATTGACTGAAGAAAACAATTCCTTAAAAAATATAATTGGCCAAATGGGGGAAAAAATCCACTGAAGAAAACAACTCCTTAAAAAGTAGAATTGGCCAAATGGAAAAGGAGGTACAAAAGCTAACAGAAGAAAATAATTCCTTAAAAATTAGAATTGAGAAAGTGAAAGCTAATGACTCTATGAGACATCAGGAATCAGTCAAACAAAATCAAAAGAATGAAACAATAGAAGAAAATGTAAAATACCTCATTGGAAAAATAACTGGCCTGAAAATAGATCCAGGAGAGATAATGTAAAAATTATTGGACTACCTGAAAGCCATGATCAAAAAAAGAGCCTCTTTCAAGAAATTATCAAGGAAAACTGCCCTGATATCCTAGAACCAGAGGGTAAGATAGTAGTTGAAAGAATCAAAATTCTACCAGTCACCTCCTAAAAGAGATCACAAAATGAAAACTCTAAGAAATATTATAGCCAAATCCCAGAATTATCCTGTCAAGGAGAAAATACTGCAAGCAGCCAGAAAGAAACAATTCAAATATCAAAGAGCCACAGTCAGGATTACACAGGATCTAGCAGCTTCAACATTAAAGGATTGGAGGGCTTGGCACATGATATTCTGGAAGGCAGAAGACCTTGGATTACAACCAAGAATCCACTGCCCACCAAAATTGAGCATAATCTTTCAGGGAAAAGATGGATATTCAATGAAATAGGGGACTTTCAAATGACCAGAACTGAACAGAAAATTCAGTCTTTAAATACAGGACTCAAAATAAGCATAAAAAGGTAAATAGGAAAAAGCCGTTGTTATTCAATAAGGTTAAACTGTTTATATCCCTACACGGAAAAATGATAATTGTAGCTCTTGAGAACTGTATCTCTTTTAGGGCAGTTGGAAGGAGTATATATAGACAGGGTATGGGTATAAGTTGACTTTGATGTGATAATATAAAAAAAAATTAAGGAGTAGAAAAAAAGGATTATACTGGGAGTAGAGGAAAGAGAGAGGCAGAGTAGGATAAATTACATCACATGAAGAGAAACAGAAAACCTGTTACAGTAGAGGGAAAACAAGGGAGGGGGTGAGCATTGTTTGAACCTCACTCTCATTGGATTTGACTCAAAGAGGAAATAATATACACACTCAGTTGGGTGTAGAAATTTATCTTACCCCATAGGGAAGTAGGAGGGGAAAGGGAAAAGGAGGAGCTGATAGAAGGGAGGACAGATTGAGGGAGGTGGTGATCAGAAGCAAAAGAAGGTGATGAGGAGGGAAAGGGTGAAAGAGAGAAAAGTATAAACAGGGAGGAAAATGAGATGGAGAGAAAGACACAGTTAGTCATCATAACTGTGAATGTGAATGGGATGAACTCTCCCATAAAATGGAAGGGGATAGCAGAGTGAATTAAAAACCATAATCCTACAATATGCTGTTTACAAGAAACACATTTGAAGCAGAGAGATACACACAAAGAAAAGGTAAAAGGTTGGAGCAGAATATATTATACTTCAGCTAAAGTATAAAAAGCAGAGGTACCAGTCTAGATCTCAGACAAAGCAAAAGCAAAAATAAACCTAATTAAAAGAGATAA